GCCTTGGTTACTGCGTAAAGTTGTTTGGTTTACAGCCCTGCTCAAGTGTGCACATTTAACAGACTGGGAACAGACGTGTCTTTGTCACTGATGATTTGTCTTAGAAGTTCGCTGCTCTGATGGTTCTCACTTTCTGGTCTCAAGTTGAAAATCGTCTCTCCCAGCAGCCAGTCAGTGCAACACATCACACCAAATACCAGTGAGCTTACTGGCCTTCGACGTGGCTGCTGCTGGTCTGAAGCAGCTGGGAAAGATGCAGCACTGATGGTTTCTGGATCATTTCCAAGCTTCCAGAATCAGGATCATTTGAACCAGGATGACATTCATCTACTGACATCTCCATTAATGTCTCAGAGATCTGTTCGCCAAAGCAGGCTAAGGCAGAGGCCACAGTAAGCCTGGTGCATTATGGGAAATTGGGGGGTTGTTACTGATGAGTATTTACTGGAGCTGACTCAGTTTTGCCTTGTTAATGGGGGAAAAGCATTGTTTTTGTGTTCATGTGTATGTGTTCATTTATCTGCATTTACACGCGTGCGTGTTGAGATACTTTGTCCCCCAAGAGAAAACTCATTTCAAAGCCCGTACATGGAGACATTAAAGATCCGTGAAAAAGCACAGCGCCGCCCGAGTGTGTGTGTGTGTGTGTGTTTGTGTGTGCGCCTGATGCAGCTGGACACTAATGAGAGCAGAGTGTGTTACAGCCTCAGGGAGCAGCCTCGCTGCTCAGCCTAGGGAAATCAGTGGCTCTAAAACCACAAGCAACACATACACCTTCCATCCTCCTCTTCTCCTTCTGCTCTGCCTCATTTCTCACATCTATCGATTCCCTCTTCATTTCTCACCCTCTTCCTCTTCCAAAACCCCCGTTCTTCCACCCTTCCCCCTCTCTGTCTGCCTCTGTTTTACTGTTCATCCTTCTCTTTTCTCTTCATCTGCTGCTCCACCTATTCCTCTTTGTCTCTCTGTTCTTTACCTTTACTTCTGCCTCCATCTGCTCCACATTCAGCCTTCTCTTTTAATCTCCCTCCATCCCTTTAGCCAGATCATTCCTTCGTTTCTCTGTCCCCTGTGTCCTCCTCCAGCTCATCTTCCTCCCCCTTTCTTGCACAGTGCAGTTTCTTTTCTCTTCTATGAACTTATTCTAATATAAAACAAGATAATGTTGAGCAGTTGCAAATCCCCCTCAAAAAAATCTCTCCTTCCTGCTTTTATGCTCATGTGCTCAGTAACTGCTTATATTATCAGCCAGTCCCTTTGCGTGCGGTTGTTAAGAGAAAGACTGCCAAACTCGTGAGACTGGAGAGCGTGTTTTTTTGGTGCAAATATAAGTAAATATTATTAAAGTTCAGCTAATGTCTCCTTCTCTCACTATAAAATCGGTTTTTCTTTATGAGTTTAATCAGCAGCGCCTTTCCTCCTTCCTGCTGCTCTCCCACAACATCCATCCACAAACTCTTTTAAAACAATAACAAATGGGAGCTGATAAATCAAAACCACTTTGACATGATAAATGATGGAAACATTCAGAAACATTTTTCTTTTTTGTACCTGTCTTCTCTTACGGCTTCTCCATCATCTGCTTTGTTTTCTTTCCTTTTCACCGTGATAGAAAAGCTAAGTTGGCTCCTGTGAACACACAGACACCCACTCTCCTTCAGCCTTCTCTCTCCTTCCACCACCCTGTCCTCCTCCCTCCAGCAGCTGTGATCAGACAGCAGCTTTACTCTCCCACTCAAACACAGGTCACATGAGACAAACTAAAGATTCAAAGCACAAATCAAATACATTTTCAAAAGGTGATTTCTGTCATTTTAGATAAACATTGCCATCCTGACTTGTGTATATCTTTTGATGACATAAAAAGGGGTGTACTCTGGATGAGTGGTGGCCTGATACTGCGGCTCCACCTCTGGTCACTACTGTGCAGAATCTGGCTGCAAAAAGCAAGATGGCCGCCTACAAATCTGAAACATTTTGGCTTCACCTTTGCATAGTGGCAGGAAGTGGTGATGCATCATTCTTTTTTTTTTTAAACAGTTTATATTGTGAACCAAATTCCTGGTGAACCGAAATCAAACATGTCAACTTGCTGGTGACGCTAGAGGAAAGGTCAGAGCACCCAAAACCTTCATCTCCATCTTGCTTTATTTATTTTGATCTACTCTACTTTGCTGTGATTTCTTGATGAAACTTGACACAACGTGCACACGTCACCAACATCACTTCTCTGCTCATGAACGTGAAGTGTTTTACTAGGCAAATGTTGACTGATGACACAGCAAACACGAGAGACTCAAAAAACAGTCATCAAATACACTGTACTTATATAAGAGGGACAATTAAAAACAAAGCTCTGCCTGATTCTCTCTTTGAGTTATATCACCTTAGCATAAAACCCTCACCCAACCAGATTTATGTTGTTTTCTCATTAAATATGGTCTGTGCTCTGATATGGTGTAGATTGAGAAGGTTGATAATAATTACATTTGGAAATCCTTGAGGTTAGTAAGTGAAATTCACAAAGTCAAAGAAAAATGAAATGAAAGCAACCAGAAAAGTTAGGAAGTACTCAGAGCTTTTCAAGAGTGTGGTGAATCCATTTTAACAGAGGCTGCAGCCCGACTGCCTCTGAAAACCTTTGCAAACATGTGATGTGAAATCATGTATGCAAAGCTTAAAATTACACTGCACATTTAAAAGTGAACGCCTCAGCCTGGAGGAAACCCATCTCTGATGTCTGTCCCTTCAGTGCCACAGCAGCTGATGATGACAACCATCTGACAGCTTACTGATTAATGTCCTCAGTGTGATGAAGCAGTTCATCAAACATCTAATGTGCTTTTTATGAACCTCTGGCTTCTGCCTGGTCGGACTCGGCCTCCTAATGAGGCTCAGGCAGTGGAGAGGCAACACAAATGCACAGGCCTCTGCACTTCTTATCCTTCCTTCCACTTTTCAAATGTGTCTTTTTCTGCTACGATGTTTTTAAACTTCCCAAAGTCTAGTGGTTAAGGCGCAGGGCCCATAAGAAGCTGTCTTATGGGCCCTGCTAGTGGTTTTGAGACTGTGCTTTTTTACCAGCAGTTCTATGTGTGCTTGTCTCAATACTAAGCAGTTTCCCTGACTTTATCTCTGTTAGCCTCCTTCCGGTTCTGTCGCTCTTCTCCTCCTCATGAATATTACAGTACGAGGCTGTAGAGAGCAATATGTACGGCTGCAGACAAGAGTCTGACTGTTTGTGTTCAACATTTGACAGTCAATGTGGCGTCTGCTGGCTGCTGCTTCTGCACGTCTTCCCTGCACGTCTATCCCTTCACTTTCTGTTAAAAACCAAGCACCAAATCATGTGACTGTTGTGTATGAGTGATTGTCACCTCAGTTGAAGGATTGTGTGTTTTTCTAGATGCATGAAGAGCTTTTTCTTATGAAACCCACTCAAATCTTAGTGGAGAAGGTCAAAAATGCGTCACCATCATTTCGTACTTTCTAAAATTATGATAATGTGTAATAAAACCTTTCTAAGACAATTAACTGTCAGCTGCTGACCTTGTCTCAAACCCACTAAATGCTGTTTTTGTACAAGCTGAATAGTTTTAAGTGCGTCTCCTCTGCTTTATTGTGACATGTCTCAGTCACATAATGTTCTGTCCTTTTCGTGCCATTAGCTTTCAGGCCTCCATTCCTGACCCAGACACAAAAATTATGCATTTACAGTTTCTCTATTCCTGATATGAAGTGTGTGTACTTTCCTGTTAAACTATTTATCTGGGGAGTTTCAGTGGTCCAGGGACAAAGGGGGTTGTACTGTGTGCTGTACAGATTGTAAAGCCACTACAGGCAAAATTGTGATTGGACTATAAAAATAAAATCAGACATATGATTTTTCACTGTGAATGTTTTAATGCTGCAAGGACATAAACAATATTTTCTAAGGTTTTATAGCTCATGTTCTGGTGCTAAACAGTGAAATTGCATGTGTTCATATTAACTAAGGAGTCTCAGTGGGGTTTTGTGGTGGACAAACTGGAGAAATGTGGAACCACAGGTATTTGTGTGTTGGTCTCAGGCAATATGTAGTTTAAGGAGTTCTTGTTCAGGGACACAAAAATCAGGGAGGAGAGAATTTTATTCATACAAATATCCTCAGCGCCTGATTTACCACGGCTCGACAGAGAGAAATGGCTGAAATTTCCCATCGGGAGAAAGCAGGCGTACAGTCTGCGGCCCTGCTGTCAGCGTGGCAGCTGTCCGTCATCTGAGACCTTGTTAGAGTTAGGAACATGTTTGAGGAGGGAGAGGGTGTTTGTAAATCACATCACTCGCCAAGACGGAGATGTGAGGGACTTTTACAGGCTTTCAGCTCAAACCACGCTTCAGTTACTGAACAAAATAAAAGGCAGGAGATGACATGACTGCAGCTGCAACATATGTTTGCTGATTTCTGCAACCATAGTAAGGTTCGGTCGCTGTAAATGTACACGTTGTTCTACACGTCCTCTCGGTCCATACGTGCACAACAGCCTTCAGGCAGCAGATCTGAAGCGGGGGTGTATTCAAAATAGCACAGCTGCGGCTACACTCATTTACATCATCAGTGCTGGCAAATACGCTGCTAAATGTAAAAAAAAAATCTCAATGCCGCAACATTTTCTGTGCCCGTCGTCGATTTGCAAGCTGCTTAGTAACTATACAGTAGACGTTCAGAACATGGGGACCAGTGGAGCATCACAACTTTCCTACTAATCTGCCCAACTAACAGTCCACAGTGATACCACAGAGTTATAGCTGGAAATCCTCACACTGCTATTTTTGCTCGACAGCTGACAAACAATTCATTATGGCATTTATTTTAAATTTATTTCTGTTCACTGACCAATCAACTGACTGATTCTCCCACACACAAATATTCTATAAATCCAAGGCAATGAAACAGTTTCATCACACGAACATGTCCTCCCTCCAATAAGAGGCATCTACTAAATCACATGGCCACATACCTAAGATGGCGATGACCTCGTCATCCTGGATGACCTCCAGCGACCCCGAAACCACAAAGCACAGGGTGTCGACGCTCTCCCCAGCATGGAAGATCAGGTCCCCAGGGGCGCAGTGGATGGTCTGGAACTCCACGGCCAGGGAGCGCAGACAGCCGTCACTGGCCAACCTGAAGGCCGGATGTTCGTTGAACACCTGAGGGAGTTATAGTCCAGTCTCAATGGCAGCACAAGATCACTGGTAGAACTGGTAAGCTCTGGTTTGAAATGGTTTTCCAGTGGAGAGTGAGATGAGCATGAAGTTTTGCAGCAGTTCCAACTTGAACATCAGGCATCACTTGAATTTTACACTGTTCGTCACTGACCTCAGTTAAGTTTTATTGTTTTAACCCCCCTCCTGAGTCCTGCTGATATAAACTTTTAACACTCAAGATAATTTTGTGGAGCTTCTGTCTTTGTCTGGTGAGGATGTCACCAGGGTGAGGGTTTGTGTAGGTTTGGTATCAGGAACAACACGTCAAAATCTGTGCATCTATTGATTGTTGCTGCTTTGTCTAAAAATAAAAATAGATTTGCCAAACCAGCTGACAACTGTAAATACAAAAAGCATCTCTGTAGAAATACTTTACATTAGAAAAAGAAAAGCTTCTATTGTTTTGTAATTGGTGTGAAGCGTTAATGAGGATGATTAGGATTTTGTCCATCCAATACTTTGGTGCACAGCAGGTCACCTTTTATTTTAGTGTCAGACCAGAGCTCCAGCTGAATCCTAAAACTATTTGCTGGCCACATTCCTGCTCTCCTCCTCGTTTCTCTACTCTGTAAAAGAAGTCAGTTACTGATATGCAATCACGTGCACAAAACATAAAAACCAGCTCCCACGCACTGAGACAATCCATCGCAGTACCAGTGAAGGCTTCAGTCGGTTCCGTCACTGAGATGAGTGGAGTGTTTTCATATCGCTACCTCCTGTCAATCACCTAAAGCCCTCAAGAAGAAATGCAAGTCTCCATCAGGAAATAATCCGTCCAAATCTGTCTTTTCATTTAGGTCCTTTGTTTAGTTGTGACAGCAGCTGGCACTCTGTCAGCAGTCCCAGAGTCCAGCACAAGGTGACTGGGGTTTGACGACTACAAAACCCAGAAATCCAGGTTTGTCTGAAAATCACCATCACTTGCTGCTGCTGCAAGGTGCTTTACATTTAACAGTACATTTACTACAGTTATACAGTCCTACTTTTTTAACCAGAGGGTGGCACGGTGGGGAAGTGATTAGCACTGTCGCCTCACAACAATGAGGTTCTGGGTTTGAACCTCAGAGCCGGCTGGCTGACCAGTCTCAGCGCCGTTGGCTCACGCCCCCAACAAAGATTTTTGAATGTGTTAGAATATAAAATCAGAATGAAATGACTTTAAAGCGTATCAGCAACAGTTCAACGTCATTAGGACTCATTCCTGTAGAACTACTGTACTGGGAAATGAACCACTTGGACTTGGATATGTGACCTGCAGTGAGATTTGATTGCACTGAATGACAGAATGGATTTTAGCTGATGTGAATGTTTGTCACTGAGGAAGTTGTCACACAGTTACACAACTGTAGATGTCCTTCATTCAGATCCAGCTCAGCAGTTTATGTGCACTCAGGTTTTGGGAACCGTATCAGTCGTGTCATGTGATGCCTGTAACTCAGGACACCTACAGTAGCTGCTGTTTAGTGTGCAAGGAATATATTTCAGTGGAGTGAGTATATGAATGTCCTACTCCACAAATCTAAAAGCCCTTTGTTTAAAGACATAAATATGGGCTTTTGTGGCCAACTCAGATATTTGGAAAATGTTCCTGCAAACTAAGGTTAGACATTTGCGCTTTATCTTTATAAGGACAGTCTTATCTTCACTTTTTATTCTGAAGCTCGGTGTTATTTACCTAGATAAGCAGCAGTTACTTGCATTAAGTTTAGGTTCACTTGCAATACAAACGAAAAGCTATTACAAATTTAAAAAGTAAAAGCAACCAGTGTTGCACAAGGCTGACAAACTGAGGAATCTTTTCAAGCTCAGTTTGTTTTTACATCAGATTTGCAAAGGACTCAAGAGCCCCAGAGCAAGATTTGGAAGTCATGTGATTCATGTTTTCTTTCAGATCTTTTTACAAACAAAACCAATAGCATCAGACACCTACAAATTTTCTGTTGTATCAAACTGAGCATTATTAAACCCCACAGATAAACCCCACACTGTCCATCTTCTTTCATTTTTAACTGTGAACCAGATTAAGTGAAACATCCCGTGTGTTTAAGAAAACAAAACACACATACCTTCCTGTTGAGATGAACACAGATATCAGCCCGCATGTCCTTGGGACAGATGGATAAGACCTGGAGGACAGAGAAACATGCAGGAGTCACACTGGCCTTCACAGACACTCATCTGTTTGTCTTTGCCAAGACAAGAGCATTCACTAAATCTCCTCTTCTTGTGCAGGTGTCCCTTTGCTGCTGCAATAAATCCTCAAGCAGTAATAGCTGGAAGTCTGTTAGCAACAAGTGGAGTCCCGTGGTGTCCAAGTGAAGTCAAAGTGCTCGTCTGGTACATTTACGACATGACTCAGACCCATAGTTCTTGTACACATGTTAGTGAATATGGTCACAGATTCTGTTTCTTGCATCAACTTTAAAATTTAGATTCCCCCAATGACGCGTCACAGAAACAGGACTCTAAACTTCACACAACTCCACCCACAACCCCCCAGGCTGCCTCTAACACAGATGCTGAGGCAGAACAGTTGTGCCAGTTTTAACACCTCTTGTGGTGGAATAAATGAGGGTCAACTAATGGTCCATGTATCATCCCATCAGCATGATTTCCGTTTATCTGACTTGTCTTTACCGTGCACAGAGAGTGACCACTGTGACTGCACCTACAGAACAAGATGGTGTCAAACTATCAGACATTTACGTGGATTCTCAATTAGAGGTAAATGAACATTCCTCTCCAGTTCACCAGGGATGACAGAGGCCTCTGTTGTGTGTTAGTTCACAGCCATTACTGTACCAGAGTCAAATTCCTCATGTGTCCGACATACCTGGCCAATAAAGCTGATTCTGATTCTGACCACCCCCCATGTACCTTAGAAACAGATCAGCGTGGTGGAAAACTGCTGCAATAATTCCACCTTAACTGGGCAGCGTAACAGCAGCTCAGAAATCCTGCACCGTCTTTGACACATGTTGTACTGACTTTGCTTAAAGTCTGTTACTTTACAGCTGCTCATCAACCGGGTGTCCGTTCCATCATATCTTGAAAGCAGAACTTCTAAATGAATTCTCGCTCTCCTCTGTTTCCCATGCAACATTACTGCAGCTTACCGCAGTGTAGATATTCAAGCTCGTCTTGTAGCTGCGTTCATTAACTCCCTCTAAAACAACCATCTGCCAAGAAGCCTAAAGAGGAAACTGTAATCGCTTTCTCCAGCTCATTACACAAATTCTGAAATTGAGCTGAATTAACTGAAGCATTTTGGTAAAACAGAGAAAACAAAATATTATCCCTGTGTCCACAATCCTGCCTTGTTAAATGTGAACAAAACTGGCCAAGGGGAACAACAAATCATCTAAAAGCCTTTGCAACACCAAAACACCACACAGTGGTCTGAAAATCTTTGCGCTATTTAAAGTGGAGGATATTAGTAGCACAGAGACGCCTGCAGCAGCCGCTGCTCTTTTTTGGGTGTGTATTTGCATAAACAGCTGACTGTGTACTGTGTAGAGTAACTGCTCCCAGAGTGACAGAAAATACCCACTAATTGGCCCCAGCTCTGCCTACCAGGTATTCACTATACACTGAGAGTGGGCACAGGACTCGCCTCATGTCTCTTCAAGCTTCTGCAGTTATCTCTACAAAAACTACAAAAATAGGCAGGGAGGAGCCTCAGGATCCAAAATCCAAAACTACGAATGAATGTGGAATTGAATGAAAGATACAGGAGGAAGAAACAGATTCAAACAAGACAATTATGAGACGATTATATGAAATCATCACAAAACGCCTTAATGCTGACTAAGGATTTTAAGGCTGGCTGGTTCCCAGCGCAGCAAAGAGAAACTGCACCTAATGTTCCTTCAGAAGTGACAGGGGGAAATAAAAGCCTCTTTTACACAAAGATCATGGCAATGGCTCCTTCAAGATGGCTATTTTGATTTAAGCCCTTTTACACTTTTAAACTTAAAAGTTGTCAAACTGCCGCTGCTGTGTTCCCTCTGCACTGCTGCCAGGATCCCAGCACCACAGGCCTGATGCTTATCGTGATGCTGACGGTCCATGTACATCATCTCTGTTTGACAATGAAACAAACGGGCTGTAACCTGTTCTTGTTTGATACATTTATAAATGGAAATCGACAATCACAGGAGCTACTAGAGCATGTGCATCCAGCTCTGTGCGTCTCTTTGAGGGCAGCGCTACACACACAAAGGCATAATCCCTCCCACAGGGTTGTGCATGGATGTGACTGTGTTTATTCCTGCTTTAGAATGAAACCGATTCTCTTTGCTCTCGCTGATGCTGCTCGCTCTCCTCATTCACTCTCTAGCTCTCTCTCTCACCTGGTGTCCAACCCCCGATTCTACCTTGTCCCGTTTATACAGGATGGGGGGGGAGAACTCATCTCAGAAAAAATAGCACCTCTTGTTGCGGCATTTTGGAGAGTCAGCATCGAGCCCCTGTGCCGGGACTGTACCTTTTATGCAGAACGGCAAGGAGGAAAACCAGCGGACAACAATCTGGCGGGATTTAGTCTCATCAGAGGGGAAGGTCTGTTGATTACATTTAGTAATGTGTGTCAGACGTTCAAGAGATACAGCAGCAGCACTGAAGCTCACTTCTGTTTCTCAAAATCGGTTTTTCTAAAAATATAATCTTCCATACATCCATCCATTTTCCTCCACTTATCCGGGACCGGGTCGCAGGGGCAGCAGTCTAAGCAAAGATGCCCAGACTTCCCTCTCTCCAGACACTTCCTCCAGCTCCTCCGGGGGAATGCCGCGGCGTTCCCAGGCCAGCCGAGAGACATAGTCCCTCCAGCGTGTCCTGGGTCTTCCCCGGG